CTTGAAATGATTTAGTTTCCTTGATCTGGTTTTCTACATTTAAGTCAACGATATGTTTGATCACATTCTTGTTCTCGTACGTAATATGCATATGTTTATCCCATTTGCAACCGCAAATTTTGCAAATTTCGTTTTTCATGGCAGTACATCCTTTTAATGCTGAATTATTTACCACATCACATTCAACATTGCTTAAATAACAGCGTGGATGACAGTGTGTCTTGTAATTTACTTTTTTTAATGAATTATTTTCTTCAATAGTCAAGACTTCAACACAACCTTGGCTGGTGCATACAGTCCTGGGATATCCCAACTGTACCGGTTCAAGGTCTATCTGCGGGATGTACAACCTGTCTTCAAGCTGCTCTATGGATTGGCTGAAATTTTCGATATCGTTTTGCTGTTCTCTAATCAGACTAATGTTTACTTGGATGAGCTGTCCTATTTCCGCAAGAGGTTTGGAAAGTACTATCACTATCTTTCTAGCATGGTTTAACGATAAAGTATCTTTAATTTTGTGAGGCTTACTCGATGCAAGATGTGTGAAGAGTTTAAAAGATTCATCCACTGATCTTTTCCAGCTCTCTGCAAAACTTTTTTCATCTTCTTCTGTAAAAGTTATCCCCCCCTTGATTGCTGCTAGGAACCTAAATGATTCGTTGTCAAAACAGTACATTGTGTCTCTGTTGGTTTGTATTTCGACACCAGATCTTTCCTTGAGCTCATTTAGTTGTGATTGTAGTGCTGGTAATGTATCCCCTGGGCGATAGAATGTTCCTCTAGCATTGGTAAAACAAAAGACAATATTGTCCTTTGCGTTCTTGTGAATATGTGATAACAACTCGTGTATGCAAAATTTAAATATTACATTCAATCTTGATTGGTTGGGCTTAAGGAGAATACAAATTCCGTTAAGATATTTGTGATGACCAAGATATTTTAAGATGTTTTCAAAATTTTTCTTGTCTTGATCTATTCCTCTTGTGTCTCCTATTCCAGGAGTATCGATCAATCTTATGTGCACGTTGTGCTCGACTTGAAACAAATAACTTTTACATCCTTGAGTGGCTGACGTTCCTACAGTATCTAGTTGTTCGTTTGGATCATCATCACCAATTTTTATTTGTCTCGTCTTAAAGTTATCATCCATAATTGAGAATTTAGATGAGATTAGACACTCCAGTTCCCCAGATTTTGCGTCTTCTAAAGTATCAAATTTGAGATAGTTGATGAAGGCATTTATAAATGTAGATTTTCCTACACCGGTCTCACCGAGAAGTAATATGTTTATTTCTTTCTTTTTTCCCATTACTGAACGTTAGAAAGTGCGAAGTTAAAAAATTAACTTTCAACAGTTAAAAACCAATTATTTAGGAAATAAGAATATGTTTATTATTGGCTAATTAATCATTTTCTCATTGTAGGTCATACGATAAACAATAATTCAAAGAATGAAACGAACTTCAACTTTTTCGATCGTTCCCTTAAGTCATGATGACGCATTTATTTGGTATCTAAGTCAGGTAGTCTGTGTCCAGACCGGTCTGACTCTGGTTTGATCATAGAACCGGTTTCGGTTCGATTTAAGGATCGAACTGAAATTGGACGATCAATCAATCTATATAAATGCCGTGTCGCTTAAAATTGTAAGAAGCGTTGATCATTTTAACTAGAATAATTTTCGTTTTGCATTATTGTTTTGTTTTTGCAAAATGTCGGACGGCGTAATTTCAAATGAAAATTACGACAATTTCTCAGAAGTTTCTTTAACTTCTTTAGCAAATGAAGAAAGATTCCAATATAACAGCTCGCAAGTCGGATGTATGGGAATTTTTTTTAAAGTCCAAGATGAAGAAACTGGACTAATAACAAGTTATAAATGCATTTTATGTGCTAAAATTTATTCACCCGCCAATCCAGCAACTCCCCTTCGAAAACATTTAACTAAAAACATTCATTTCATT